CTCCTCTTGTTCCGGTGAGAGAACTGAGGTTCAGAGGCTGACACGTGCCTAGGAAGCTGGTGATAGAGCTCCAGGCCAGATCGTCAGGTTCCCCCATCAAATGCCCTGTTAGTGCAGTGTGTTGTAAAAGCCCGAGCCTTAGAGGGTTCTCCCTGCTCCTGCTCCTGCCCTTCCGTGTAAGGGAGGGAAGATGCTAAAACAATTAAAGGGAAGGTTTACCTAGGGCATAGATGCCCAGAAAACTGGAGGAGAAAATGTGGGCACATAGAACCCGAAATCCAGCACCCTCTCCCCTTGTGAGACTTGGTCAAAATGACTGGTCACATAAACTGCCCCAGTGAAGGGAGGTGTAGGTCTTCACTAGAAGACAACATTCTGGTTGTCTCAAGGTTAGTCTTGCCTGCTTTGCCAACACTCTTAGAAAAGGAGTTTTCTGTGGGGTAGAGGAGTTCCTAGGGATGCCTAAGAATACTCCTGAAATCAAATAAATGCATGAAGGTTTTGAAACAAACAGAAATTCTACCACAACTCCCCACGTGGTGCAGAATTACCTCTATTGCATCCCCGGTGAGAAGTTCAGGCTTTCTATAAACAAACCTCGTAACACGTGAAGAGTGAGCTCTCAAAACACAGCCTGCTGCGTTTGGGCTCTGTTTACTACAAATGCAAACCTCTGCGGGAATTTGATTTCAGTCCAGCATTGCACAGCCCAGCTGGAGAGTGAGTGCACGTGGCTAAGCCTGAGGGGCAGCGAGACACCTCGAGGGCCACAGAGTTGTTCACTTTATAGACTTCTCCTTTGAAACCGAGCGAGAGTTGGTTTCTCTCAGGGAGTGGGAGAAAATTTTTCCTACAAAGATTGGCTTTTATTCTGCTTTCTCATAAAAACCACATATACGCACATTCTCCAGCCTTAGAATTCAGCCACCATAAGCCCTTTCACACCCATGTGAGGGCAGGACACATGGAACAATCATCTTCCAACTACGATGACTAGGAAGGGCCCCTAAGTGTCAGGTTGCTCTAGCAAGTACAGTTTTTTTAACAAAGGTGTCTTATTAACTAGTAATGAAATTGATAACATCTTTATAAAATAATCTTTCCTAGAATAATTAATTAAAAGCATTCTAAAGTCTGCGGTCTAATTCTCATCTGCTATTCTCAGTCCCTCCTGCTCTTCAAATAAGGAATACAGCTCTTACGTCAGAAGTTCACTGCCTCTTCTTGTCTCCGATTCTCTGCACTTAAACTCTATGGTGTGTCTAAGAGTAAACGGCACGTACTATATTCTGCTTACACTTCATTAGATTGTTTGGAATGGGTCCATTTGAGTTGCCCCCTCTCACACCCTTCCCATTTTTCTTTCCACCCATTCTGGAACCATGATCAAATGTGTGATAGATACTTTTACTCTGTTCATTGTGTCTCTTATCCTCTCTAATTTTTCCCATGTGATTTGTCTTTCCAGGCATAATTCTGGACAATTTCTTGTAATGTATATTCCAAGTCAGTAATTCCCTTTGTGTTGTGTTTAGCTTGCTGTTCAATCCAACCACTAAATCCTCATTTCCTTAGCAGGGTTTTTAGTTGTTGACATCTTTCTCAATTCTGTTGAAAGCTATCTGGGTCACTTTTTAGGATTTCCTGCTCATTGAAGATGTTTCCAGGCTTGTCTTTTATTTTGTGAATACAATAAATCAGCCTATGACACATAATTTTGATATTTGGCCTGTAGGTTTATTTTTGCTTTTTACTGGATTTTCCGTGTATTTCCCATTTCATGTGAAGTTGTCTTTGTGCACAGAGTATTGAAAAAATTATTTACATTAGTGATTCTGAGCCCAAGATGGCAACACCTTCCTGCAGGAAGTATTTTCACTGGCTGCACTATTTCTAGTGTCCAAGGCCACTTTAACCTAAGAGCAGGGCTCGGATTCCCAGTATCTAGGCAGGACAGCCGTGCAAGGAATGGTTGCTCCTGGGTCACTGCCATCCTGAAAGTGGCACAAAAGCTTACCAAATATACTACTTGTTTAGGCCCAGAGCCTTGAATGTTGCCCATGATGCCACCAAAACCACAACTCACTCTTTCTTCCGGACTCAATAAATGCCCATGGGGTAGAAGTACCTTTCAGTGCTCCCCTTTCTGGCTTCTTGTCTTCTGGCTTCCAGCCTCGTTACCTCTTAGCTCTCTCAGATCTTGATTTGTTTCTCTTTTTCAGCCCATTTATTTAGTTGCCCTCACTGGGACAATTAATCCCGATCATCCAGCTGGCACTGCCAGAGCAGAGGTATACGGCACCCTTTGAACCGCTCTCCTTACCCCCAGTCTCTTCCTTCCAGCTTCCCATTCACAAAGTAACCGAAAGATTCTTCCAAGGCACCGCTCTCATTGCATTATTCCCATGCATGCATCATTCCAAAGCTATCTCTACAATAAAAGCCAAATTGCCTAGGTTGAAGGATCACATCTCAAGCTCTCTTTCTTGTTTTATTTAACAAGTATTTATTCTTCACTGTGTGGCACGCTGAGTGTGTGGCACTCGCTACAAGTGGCTCTGCCTAATCTCCCCTCCCATACTTGTCTCATTTCTGGTCTACCTGCCAAAGTGCAGCCCGGCTGTACCTTCTGATGTCGGGTGGCGAGGCTGGGTCAGAACACAGATGAGTGATGTGCAGGCCAGTGCTCTATCCCCTGCACCATGATCCCGTGTTCAACCTGGGTATTTATGGAGATTTCAAAAACTGACTAGACAAGAGCTCAACAAGGACAAATTACAGTGCATTGTTTTGTCTCTTGTTGCATTAGGGGCTATTTTTCGTCTCGTGGGTCAGAAATTGCAATGAAGTATTTACCTCTAGGTCCTCTGGGATTTAAGTTCTGGAAGTGAGTTCATCTTTACCATCAACTTGTTGGAAATCTACACAGTCACAAGGGCACAAGGAACAAAACTTCTTCAGGCTTCAAGCCTGTTTTCCCTGACAAATGAGGAACTGGACCCATTCACTGTCTGTGGAACTTGATTCCTTGCTGCTGGAGACGACCTGCATCCAAACAAATCTACTCCCACCTGCTGGTGGTTGTGTGAACTTCCATTCAAAGTTGCTGTTCTGGAAGTGGGCGAGCCTGGAAAAGTTGGGACTCCTGTTTACTATGCGACCTTGGGTCCATCCCTTTTCGTTCTCTGGACCTCAGTTTCCCCATATTGCAATCCAAGTTGCTACACAAAATAACGTGGAATGGCTCTGCTCTCTACAAGGATGCGATGTCTGGGGGAAGAGGGGTGACAGGGTGGGCTTGCTTGGTGGATTTCCTCTTGCATGTGATAATCGGTGACCACCGGCGGCTCCCACTGTCCCTTTTTTCTTGTGTCCCTATGGGCAGGACACTATTTGCTGCAATGGCAGAGACAGAAGGGAGGTGGGAAAGGAAGGCGTGGAGATGCTGTGCTCTTCAGAAGGAAACAGGAAAGGATGAGATAACCTGCATCTGGATTTGATTCTAATTCCAGGCTTAACCTGGATTTTATTCCTTGTAAGGGGAGAGTTAAGAGTTAAACTTTCAGCTATGCAAAAGGCTCAGGCAGCCAAGCATGTGAGGCTCTGGGGGGCACCGGGGTCTCCAAGCACCGAGGGACACCGAAGGGGGATGCGCTCAGGTGCGAGTGTTCCCATCTAAGCAGCAGTGAACTCAGAACCCTTTTTGACCGTAACCCTTCGCGATGGCTTCCTTTGGGAGGTACGGTGAAGCTGAGCATGACTGAGCTCAGTCTCTTGGTTATCCATCTGGCCTGCCGCCGCCTGTGAGGCTCCTTTGTTTGTCACGGACCCAAGATGAGAGACAGGGAATTGGGTGAAGGCATTCTGTAGCCTAAAGAGTAGAAAGATAGGAGCCACGTAGGAAAAATGCTGGGCTGGGATTTTTATCTGGTTGCGGGGAGGGGGTGACGCACTGGCGTGGTCCGGTCTCCATCGTTTGAATTATTTTCCCCTTCTTGGGGAGAACACTGTATCCTCTATTTCCAGACAGATTCCTGTCTCAGGGAGACCCCAACTGGTGAATCCTTTCAGTCCCGCGGGGTGTACTCCCCTTACGAACCCAAACTTGGGACAAAGGGCACTCGGGAAATAGGAGTCTTCAAGGAACTCCTGGACCCTGCGGACCGATTTCCATTCCGATGGAGGACTCGAGTGCTATGGCTAGGGCGGGGTCGCAGGTCACCCTGGGTACCCCCCTTTCACCCACCCAGAGGCAGGACACACAGGGCTACTAGGGGCTCAAGCGACCTGAGGGTATTTGCTGGTCCCAAGGGCTGCCCAGGTCTTTCAGACTGCGGACTCCAGTCACCACGGTGAAATCCCCACGCTTGTATTGTGTAGCCACACAATACAAACTCAGGTACAAGACCTTCCGTGAAAAACGCACAATTGCCCTTTACAGGGAACAGCCGC